GAGGGTCTGCAGCCTTCGCCCAGCAACTGACACCCGGACTTGGTGATTCATCCCTTGCTTAAAGGGCAGTGGCTGTAAGGGAAACATCGGACAAGGTAGGACCCCCGACACTTGTGAGCTGATGTCGCAGACAAGTGTTGCCCTCCTGCTCACCAAAATGGAACCCACCAGTTCCAATGGTCCAAACGGGGACCCCGCAACGTCAGGTTCCATCGGACGGCAGGGTACCCTTCCCACTAACATGGCATTGGGAGGCTGCCTGGAAAATTAGTTTCCTCTTCAAGATGTTTTGTTTTTGTTGGTTCTGTTCATTTTTCGCTTGTGACGCCAGCGCGGTTCCATTGAACGGGCTCGCGCGCCCAGTTACCCGCTGGCCGCGGTGCCAAGCCCAGCACCTACGACCCCAACGCCAAGCTGGGACCTGCCTCCGTCTTTGCCCCTCAGCTTATCTAAGTGACGGGCTGGGTCGTGTGGCGTGTCAGATTCTAGTGGGTCTAGTGTATCCAGTGGGTTTAGTGTGTCCGGGTCTAGGCGTCATTTGTTTCGCCCTCACGTTTATTTTGTCACGATCAAGATCGGGTACGTATATCTTTCGCTACGTTTGTTCGGCAGCGAAAGAAGGGTTCTCAATTTTGAGATGGGGGCTGGGTGCATAGTGCAGATGTCATATCTCCGAAGCTTTGCGAGAGCTGTAAGGACAAACCTGCAGCCGGATTCCTTTTTGACAGTTGAACGCATTTGAAGGCCAAACTGAAGTACAGAATTTGAATTGGCTTTCTGCGTGATTCGGAGTATCTTGACCTACCAAACTCAGTCCTTTCAGAAGCAAATATTTTTTTCTTTTTTTTCTCCGGCTTGTAGAAGCTGTTTGCACCGACAGCGAGAGGACCACTGTTGAGTCAATGAGTTGCATCTGCCACCGTGACTGAGAAGAACGATTGCTTTTGTGACTTTTGTGTCTACGTTTACATCAATGTCCAAGCCGAATTATTGTTTTTGTTATTATTATTATTATCATCATTATCCTTATTATTGTTATGGTTATTATTACTAGTATTATTAACATTACTATTATGTATTATTATATATTATTATTATTATTATTATTATTGTCAGTATTAATTCTTACTTGTAGTATTATTAGTTTATTTATATATATATACATATTAGTTTTACTATTGTTATTATTATTGTTAATATGATGATTATATTATTAGTATTATTATTATTATGTATGGGTTTTAATCGACTCGTCGATTGTGTTTTGCATGTTTTTAATCATGCTTATTTGTATTTTACTTTATATTGATCTAATAATTGTTATGAATCATGCTGAACGCTGTTTCCCGATTGACAATCATCCAGTTGCTTTCCTGTTGCACGGAAGCATTCGCCCCCTCTCAGCAACATGGACCCATTTCAGAGCAAACAATCGGACCAAGTGCTTACCATCCTGGATTCCGCGCTTCCTTCAACATGTCTTGCATTGTCTTCTGCTCGTTGAGATGCACCCCCTTTCTGTGGGCGGGTTCTCTTATGTCACATGTCAGGTGATATCAGACAAATAGGGCCAGCCTTTTCAAAGTCAACACTGGGCAATTAAGTTTTGAAGTGGCTTCGTCTTTCAGGATGTGACTTGCCAGCCCCAAGGACGGCTTCTGCGACCCTTCATCCTTGGTGCGACCGGAGGTCGGAGTTTTCGTAAGTTGCTTGGGCCTGAAGTCGCCAAGGATGCATCGGGTGCCTTCTATGAACGTACCATGAGACCCATCTTCAAAACTTGGGCCAGCCGATTGAAAGTTCAGCTGCAAAAGTGCTGGATGGGGTGGGGGGTGGGGGGGTGGGGGGGTGGGGGGTGCGGGTGGAATGGGGGATGCTCGGCACATGACCCAAACTCCACGCACACACACACACACAGACACACACACAAAGACACACGGGCACCGAGATCACATTTTTGTTGCTCATGTACATGTTTTTCCTGAGGTATGAGAGCTGGATGATTTGTTCTCCGAGACCCTTCCGAAAGCAGCATTTAAGAAGCTTGCATGTTGATGCATTGTGGCAAAAGCTGGCTGTTTGAGTTCATGGGTGTTGCGGCGCTTGACTTGATTCTCAAATGGCGAACTATGAAATCAATCAAACGCTCGTTCACCGAGTAAGACTTGAAACTCATATGAGACTGGCCCGCAAATGGCTGGTGACCGAAGTACGAGCTGCTGCCACATGTGGATCCATTTCTGAGAGCCAAACATTTCCCTCACAGCGGCCAAAGACTGCCGACTCGATTGTCTAAGGCTTAGGTCTGATTCCCCATTCCCTTCACGCGTTCTGGTTCGAAGCCACTTTTTTCCCAGTGGTTTGGCTCGTTTTGTGGAAGAGAAGGATCCCTGAAGAGAATGGGGAGGGTACAGCTAGAATTGACCTACTTGTTGCTTCGTCAGGGCCTTCGGCAACCTATCTCAGCAATAGTCGATAGAGAGGGTGCACCGATGCGGTAGCCTTTTGCCCGCAATGAACATCCGTCCTAGGTGTGCAATATGTTCCACAGCGTCTTTCACAAGTTTTCTTGAGACGGCAAGTGACTTCCAGCTTTGACGACCACTGGCCACCACCCAAAGCGCTTCGTGCCGCCACCAACCAGTGCTCCTCATTTCGCTCGCTTTGGCCAGGGGAATCGGCCTGGCCGCTGCCTCATGTGGCAGGTTTTTTTGCCGCGGCATGGTCCGCATAACATTCGAATCTGGTGGACAAATATCACGGTTGCAATGCAAGTATTATGGTTTGCTTTCTCGTCCAAGCCAGATGTTCGCTAGCTAAGCCTTTCTGCTGACCATATCTTCCAAATACGATCCACCGGGGCTGGCTGGTTGGCGATCACAGGATGGGTGAGAGGTATTGCTGAGTGTTGTTGGTTGGTTGGTTGCTGAGTATTGTGTTTGCCCTTGTGATACCCACTCCGATGTTCTCTGAGGTACTTTGCCTTGCCCGGGCACTCATGAAGATGGTTCGAGGATTTAAACCACGGTATTTTTTCACCAGGATCGCTGATCACTTGACTCAACTTCCTTTGTCGAAGTGGCAATGGCCCACGTTCCTTGTTTGAGCCAGGTCAAGAAGTGCCCATGCTGTGCACCCAACACGTTGTGAAAAACCAACCACACATAAGACCACAGTATTCATGTACTTGGCAAAAAGCGTTGCCAGGCCGCCTGGAGTGGGGCTGATGAGGGTGTGGGAGCGGAGGTTCCAGGTAGGGGTGGTGGGGGTAATTGCTTATTTGCCGACTGCAAAGCACTGACGTGGAAATCCACCGTCATGCTCTGACTGCCACTCGTCAACGCGCAAATGCGTGCGTTGCAGCTTGGTTGTGCTTCGACTCAAACATGGATCTTGAAGTGCTGCTTGCTGTGACAAAATCCCGGCTGTGCAGGATGGCGATGCAACGGTGAATGCACATCCTGTAGGGCTAGGGTCAGGGCAGACACCATTCCTTCAGGTCAGGGCCTGTCTGCGGAAGTACGCACCGGCAGCGGTGACCATGCGACAGTAGCCACGTGCCAGCCACGTCTCCTTCGCACGCGCCTTTGGGCACTGAAAGGCTACGTCTATGACATTGTAGGAGCTGTAAATGACAGTCCCCGTCTCCGGCGCATGCAATGGGAGAGCAGAAGATTGTCCAACCATGTCCAACCCAATTTCCGATAAATGGGAATGGTTTCCTGTAAATGTTTGCATTCTGCTGCATTGTTATGCTCGTAGCAGTTTTGGAATGTCAGGCGCCTCGCAGAGCGAGAGAAGCGCTCTATTTTGCTCCCGCCTCGAAACAACCTAACACTTGTTGTTTGCAAATGGCTTCCGCAAGTGCCTATGCATCAAGCAGTGGGACAACAAGCCGCATGTGCATGGACATGATGTGCGACTTGGGTTTGTAGACTCGGCAAGGCCACGACCTTGAACAGAAACTCATGGGATCAACCATCTAATATAGGTCTGTTTTGAGACTTCGATTGACATGGCCATTTAATTTGTGCTTTGTGTCCGGGTCTTGTCCATGGCACCATTGACGGTCCCATCGCGATGAGGTGAGAAGAGCATCGGGTGAGAGTCGAGTCGGGTAGCTGGCCCACTGGCAGGGTAAGCAAAGGACGATATCGCCTGCACACCGTTGTTTCGGAACCTTTGTCTGACAACTGGGGACTCCTAGGGAACGGTTTCCATTCGGAGATGTTCAAACCTCTTGCAACTTGGCTCAGTGCTAGCTCTTCAAAGGACGCATCATTTTGCTGGGTTTCATGGTAGATTGTTTTGGGCGCCGAGTGCGGTGCAGCTCATTTGCTGGGTGCATTAAGCTGATTATTTGTTGCTTGTCACAACACATGGACATGGCCACTGTCTTCAAGGTAACAAGGACCCTTATGAGCTTAAGCGAAGTATGCCACTTGGTTTTTGCCATTAGCTTTTTTACACAAGGTAGCGTGCATCGGTGGTTCCTCCAACCAGAGCCCCGTTAGCAGTTGTTGAAGCTTTAAGCACCGTACTACAGGGGTGCCAGGTTCTAGGACCTTGATTAACGTACTGAATCAGGAGCTAAACGAGCTAGGACCACGCCCAAAACGAGGTAGGGCCATGCATGCCATATAGGTCGTTGAGATCACAAAGACATGCGGCGCTGGAAAACCAGATCAATGAATCCAAATGGGTGCAGGGTTGGAGAACGACTAGGAAGACCCCGACCGTTTAATCATGTAGCAAAGAACTGTCGCAGCTCATATGTTGTTTTGCTTTGCTCAAACAGCGTCGTGCTGATCCCAACCCAAGAACACGTCACGTCTACATGCAAGTACCATGTCATATTTGGACCTTGTAGTAAATATGTAATTGCATAAAAGTGTTTGGAGACGAGCTCCCGAGCTCCGTGAACACCAGTAGCCCAAGGTACTCCAAAGTAGTGCAAGCGAATCCCGACCAATCCATGCCCGAACATGTCTTTCTGTCGCAGCCCAAATTTTCGCTCTCAAGATGGGGGCCCGTGCTTCTTGCATCGAGCCTGTATCGGAGCCATGTCTGGAAGAGCTCGAGCATCTTCCGAGCTCAAGCTCGCCAGACAAAGACATGCACCATGGCTCAGCCAGAAACTGGCCGACTTGGCTATCCACTTTGCCCTTACGCCATTTATGCGATTTATGGATTCTATCATTATTTCATTCGGTAGTTGTTGGTTGTTGTCGGGGGGTCCAAGTTTAGTCAAGCAAAGGCCAGTTAGACTTAAACCTGGAAACTGGAACACTTAGGACTGATGCTTGCTTTATGAGTTGGAGTTGGGACCCGATTTGATGGATTTGCTGGTCCTTCGCAATGCACCCCGAACTGTAGTTGATTTCATCAGAGATGCAATCTGATGCAAGGATAGGACTTGGCTGGGCACGTGGGCTTTTTGCTTTTGTCCCCTCCTGGCCGTCAGATGTCCACTTGACTCAAACTGAGGAAACAATCCAGTCCCGTTTGAAAGTACATGGCCCATGTTCAACGGATACTGACTTTGGGTTGAGCACGTCGTTTTGCAGCATATACTTTCCTCCGGGGGAGATGTGTTACTGCTAGAACTTGGAATTAGCTAAAGTTATTGGCTCTGAGCAAAATGTGCCTTTTTGCCAGTCGTTTTTGTTCCTGTTGACGTTCTGTGTTTGTCATGACGGCGGATTTTTTGGTGTAGCACAGTCGCTGCTCAAAACCGTGACGGAAATTCAGAATTCGGCGGCAAATCGGCGGAATTTACCAATCATGGTTTTATTTGGTGGCGTCTTTGTTTGGAGATCGGTCTTTTTGTCTGAAATATACGTTTTTGTTTTCAACGAATCGCCCTTTTTGAGCCATGTTCGCCGAGCATGTCGACAAGCTTTGTCGCCGGAAGTTCCAGGTATGAAGGGGAATCCGTGTTCCGCCCGCAAGTTGCCGCGATGGAGCTGGCGAAAGTGATTCCTTCCCTGCGAAGATGGCATTTCCGAGGAATTTCAGATAACCGCCATATCATATGATTCATATGCTCCACCAAGAGATGTCAACTGAAGCGGAGACAGCATCCTGCACTGCTTTTTGAGGCACATTCCTGCATTCGCCGGGGACACTGTCAGCACTTCCGATAGCTTTCGGATGGAGCTGTCTCCCAAGGACATGCCAAGAGTTTTGCTTTTCGTCGCGACGACGGAGACGCGGTTGCCTTGAAGCCCCACAATGGAGTGTGTCTTTACATGTCTTTACTGTTGTCGGCAAGCTTGGAGGTTTTTAGGTTGGGTTCTCTTCATTTTTCGTGGGGGGCCTGCAAAAAGGAAAGTCTTTTGCTAGCATACTAAAAACATGTCAAGGTTTGCTTTGAATCTGCGGCTTCAGTGCTTTTTAAAGGGAAATCTTTGCCTGAAAGGCTGTCAACGGGCGAGTCTCAGAAAGTCTCTCCCCCGAATTATTTTCGGATGTTGAGCGCGAGGCAAACGCGAGGCTCAAGGTGAACACTACTTTCGGCATGTTATGCCGCTATGCCTTCTGAGGAGCCAGGTTTGCCCTTGACTGTTCTCCGAGTTGCGGCGGTCAGGAAGTAGCCGTTTTCACTCGCCGCCCAGAGGCAGCTATTAGATATTTGGTTGGCTGCCGTGCAGAACGCCGCTGTCGCAGACTCTTCTTATTCACTAGTTGCATGCTCAGTGCAGTGTTGTCCGTTTAAGCCATGCAACAGAACATGGTGCCCAGGCGTAAGATACAAACATGCATGTGTACACATTGTTATTATGATACAACTATGTTATATATTATATATATATATATGAGTATCTATACATACACTTGCTCGTAGCTTGCAGGAGTGGAGCAATGAGCCGCCCAGTTTGGACTGGGCTCTTGCAGCACCGTATAATGCTACGGGCATGCTATGGGCATAACACACGTACAGTGCATTGTTCTCGCTCGCTAGAAGGCGAGTTCAGAGTTTCAGAAAGTCCTGCTGCAGGGTTGTTGGTTGGTTTCCCCGTAGACATGACACCAATTGTTATTTTGCTAAACACGCTCGTCCGGACTGAGGGGCTGGTTTGCACATGCAGCTTGACGTGTGGGCTTTTATGATGTCCAGGTTGTTTTGAGTGTTCTGTCAAAAGTTCTAAGTCCGGACAAGAGGGCGCAGACACATACGGACGCTCAGCACAAGTAAGTGATGTCTCACGAGCCACATCCCTCCAGGAGCAGTGCCTCGAGACGCCTTTGAAGAAGCACGAGAAAATCTTCAGACAGGGTTCCCAGGCACTGTGGATAAGCCACTCAAAATGGTGATTTCGGCTTCGTCATGATGGTTTCCTGAAGCTGCCTCGAGCTGTTTTTTTCTAGTTTTACACACAGAGCTACCTCAGTCAGTTAGTCTAGCTATCAAGCTTTCAAACACATCAACTATTGGCAAGGCTCGCCAGGGCACCATGATCATGATCCTCAGAAATCTCAGATGATGTCTGGCGTATTGCTCTTACGAAACCAGCCATTATGCAGTTCCCCGCAAGTCGTCTCCAGAATGTGTTTGTCTCAGAGTCAGCGCCCCGCACGAGCGTTTCCACTGCTGTGGCCATTGGCTTGCACCATTGTTGGGTTTCGTCCTCGTCTTCAAAACAAAAAGCAAGCAAGTGTAGAACGTAGCAAGCAACGGACCCGCCAAACATGTAAAGCCTGCAGATTTCCTTTGCGTGGCCCTCTTTGGTGTCATTCTGGGTTTGTGAGGTGGTACTCAGTTGGTGAGCTTGGCACGATGGGGAGCTATGCTAAACACGACACACTGCTCTCAATGAATTGATCGTTTGGACACTGGTTCAGTGGGTGGATTTCTGCACGAGAAGTCGCCCTTCAATGTTAGAACTTGTTGTGTCATCGCGCAAAGTAATTTCTTCGAATGCTCCCAAACTGGTCAATGTCCATACAGCAGTGCTACAGCAGACTCAGACATGGAACCATATCGATCCAGTCCTCATGGCAGAGGAAAAGTTGGTCTTGGTACCAGCCCAACATGATATATGAGCACAACTTAATCTTCTGTTTGTTTTTTGTGTGGCAGGATTCGGCGTGGACGAGCTCACACACGATGAAGAGGGTTCACATGAATGAATAGTAATTTCTGCAGGAGTATTTGTTTTTGGCTTGCAGGTGAGCAGCGTGGGCAGCCGGCAGGTGTCGCCCTCCCTTGGTCGCTCCCCGTCCATGGCACTGGATGTGGACGCGATGCGGCAAGTGTCTGCCTTGTCGTCGCACTTCAGCGACCACCGAGCCACGGCGTGATTTCGGGGGGTCGAGCCCACCTCATGAGACCTGAAATAAAGGGCCCTCAAGGACCTCTTGCAAAGGCAATTGATCACGGGGTGGATTGATGCAGGGCTCTCGTCATTGCAGGCCAAGCCGGTTCTCAGCCAGACCTTTGCCCTGGCTTTCTCTTTGGTTCTCTAGTGAAGCGCTTGTGCCAGAAGCGCTTAGCATGCAGGCTGGCTGCCTTCTTCTAGTTTCCACACTCAGTGAGCACACCACCAGGAGTTGTTTTCGCACAACACTCCCTGGCCCACAAAAGCAACACCACTCCAGTTCAATCACCAATGATGCTTGGAGCGGGAGACACGCCGACATTCTTGCACTGTTGGACCAGATTTGACAACGTGCCAGCAAGCTCATTTTGCTTAACCTAGTGCCTTGAAGCAAAGCAGCTTTGGCATTGCCCAGGTGTGAGGTGTGTATCCAATGAGACCCTTGAATGGTTTTCTGTTTTTTGTTTTTCCTTTGAACAGCCCCTTTTTGGGGCACCAACTCCAGAGCAAACACCCCGGGGATCACGCCCAAAGCCGAGGCTGGGCGGGGGCTTTGTCGCGGCCCTCGGACTTCACGCGGGCCACGGTGGAGCTGGCCATGGACTTCCCCATGTGGCTGGTGCCCGCGAGGACGCTGGTGGAGCTCCAGGCTCCTCTGCTGCCCCACGACGACATGGCGCCTCGGTCCGGGTCGCGCCGGGGGGGGGGGGGCGAGGTAGAGGGCGGGGCGCTGAAGAGGAGGTCGAGGAGTTCGGGCGAGGGGCGAGTTCGTTCGGAAGCGATGGGAAGGGCAGAACGTCAAGGGGTGCTCGTTTGGAAGGGTCCCAACTCTTCGCGGCTTCCCGTGGGATCGCGAGCTTCATGGGAGGGCTTTGTTCTAGGGGTTCTTAAAGCCAGAAATTGGGGCACTTCCCTTTGCCCTACTTCTGGGGGACTCTCCAAAGTTTCGCGAGCCCGGCTTGAGATCCATGGTCCATGCCAGGCAAGGGGCGTCTATCATGTTTACAATGCGCCTGACTCTTGAAGGGCACAATCGCGGAAAGTTGTCTTCCTTGTGCTGCCAGGTAACTGTAGCGACCGGACATCATGAAGAATTGCCCCCCTCCCCCCCAAGAATCACATAATTTTGAACCCGTGGTTCGGATTCCACAAAGCCAAGCAATCAGGCAAAGACGAAGCACAGCCAAACAAATACATTAAAAGCAATTCGCGAAGGACGGGGCGAGGCCGCTTCTTTGGTTCGCATAGATGTCCTTGAGATTGCGCACACTGTTTTGTTTAAGATGTTGAAAGGAAGCCTTATGAGCACATAAGCAAAGGACAACATTTCTGGAAGCTTGCAAGACAGGACTACTCAGTTGTCCATTGTTACCAACAAACTGGTACAAGAATACTCAATCAGCTGTTGGCATTGTTGCGCCTTTGCTTCCTGTGTGGCAATTTCCTGAAGTCAAGAGGAGGTACTGACAATGTGTTGAGGGAGCATGGAGAGCATCATTCTGATTTGCTTGAAGATGTTTGCTGACTTCCGTCACTTGCTGGGCTTGAAGCAGCTATAGGATTTGATCGTGCATCAATTCACCTCCGATGTCTTTGATCATTTCATCATGGTGCCTGTTGCATTGAAAGGGTGCAAACCACTTCTGAAGCCCCTTAGTTTGCACCAAAAGTGAAAGCCAACCGCATTCCTTCAAGAAGCCATGACATCAGCACTGAGCAGAGGTGCAATTCTCTGGCATCAGGCATGAACCTGGTATTGCCATGCAGACTTGTTTCGGAGCATGCCACGGTTGATTGTTTGCCCGCAGCCTTGCTTGGCGATGACATTGTACAAGTTGGTTGGCACAGGGTGACACAAAAAGGAAAGATGGTGTTTGCAGGGCCATCATTCAAGTTAGAGGCTGTCCGCTCTTGCATGATGGGCCTCCTTGCAAATATTTTGGGGGAAGAATGCCATTGGCCAGTTTCACTACCCTCTTCGGCTTCTGGGATTCGAGAGCTCTCCGAAGTGCAACGAGCTTGTTTCTAGACCTTGCCGTCGCTCAGGTAGAAAGCGGCCGGCTGGTGAGATGGAGGGAAAACCATCCACGCAAGGTGGTGCTGATTTCCCACCAGTGCCTGAGCTGCGACTGTGTCGTGACATGAGCTACAATCAAAACCCGGGTAGATGAAGGTTAGTAAGGGGCAGTCCCAGCTGGAAATAGTTGCGGCCGCCTTTCTAATTCTTTACATGGTTCTGGGTTCGATGATTCTTCTCTGGGTCGTGCGAACCAGAAATCAGCCAGCAAGAGTCCTTCAAATCGGGCCGTAGCTGTTTGCTTGCAGAGGCAAATACATGCTCAGAACAGCGCCCATTTCGCCTTCACTTTGTGGCCCACGTGTTCTTGTCAGGAACACCCGCTACAGGTGATTTATTGTTGCGCTTGGCAAGTGGCGGAGAGCCTTTGCAAACAGCTTTCAACGGGACGCACGAGAAACTGATGTTTTGAAGTCTACCCGATGGAAAAGAAGTTGCTGACAGAAAGGATGGTCAAGTTTTGCGGTTTAGTGGTGCTTAACAAAATCAGGGCGATCACAAGAAGCGACTGTTGCAGTCTTCATTTGACTGAGCCACCAGCTACCCCGTTTGTACAGGCCTTGCGACCATTCGCTGGACTTGGCAGGGACCTCCCAAGAAGCATGCCATTTTGATGCAGACCTAAATCGCCTGCCATTGCTCAGGTGGGCTGGCAAGAGGCATCCGGATCCTCACATGGACCAGATCAGAGTTTTGCAGGACTGATGGATTTGCTGTCTGACTGAACTGTCAAGTTGATTAAATGAAGGACGAGCAAGCTAGCTAATCATCTAAGGAACTTGAACTTAAAACATCTTGACGGCCATCAGCTTTTGTTGTCTGTGGAAGCCGAGAGCGCCAACTGCGGATGGGGGGAATAGGTCGCCAGATTGATCATACAAATGCCCCCATCCCCGACCAAGGACTGCCCTATTTCGAGCCCACTTTTAGCCAATGCATGTCGTTTTCCCCGGAAGCAATGATGATTGCAAAGCTTCGCACGCGAAAAGGGAAGGGGTCAAAATTAAACCACCAGAAGACCACAGGTTGTAGTCCGTGTTTCCATTTACCAGGGTTTCATTTGGGATTCCCCTATGTTTGACCACAGCCACGTGTCTCCAAACAGCAGCAGAACCGGGAGAAGCAAATTGCAACGCCAGGAGCTCCTGCGGGGGATGGCTGCTGGCACGGTAGAGGCGTCGGGAAGCGTCGGTGTGTTGGACTTCGACAAGCCACAATGGATGTGGGTCAAAAAACAGCCACCCCATATGGAATTTTGGTAAATGGAAACAAGGACTAAACTCTGCGGTGCCCCGGAAGTGTGAAGTTGACCCATACCCAAATCAGCCCTGGGGTTCAACCCCCATTGAAAGAATGGAAAAAGCCAATTTGGATGAACATGCTGAGGAGGTGATGTTAAGCCGCTTTGTTTCAATGGTGATTTGAACCCGTTTTGGTAAGGTCCAACACATGCATGGGATGGCGCTGGATTGCTCCGAGGTGGGCAAGGACATGATCGCCGAGGCGTTCGGCGCTGATCTGCTGATGCCTTCCCCCGAGGATCCGCTTGTCACCATCACCACTGGACAATTCTTCTGGTCTCTTCCGGGGAGAGCAGGGAGGGCATGGACCAATGGAGGGTTTGCGTGTGGGGCAGAAGTATTTATCCCGTGCTGAAGGCGTTGGATGAACAGCATTGTCCTATAACAATTCATGCCAAAACGATATACAACGATGGTCTGCACAGCCCCAAGCTACCACTTTCCCAAACCGTTTCAAAGCCCAGCGGTCCCGAGAACAGCGGAACCCCTCTCAGAGATTCTGCCGGAAGCTTCGCTCAGCCCTGGAAACTGGTAGCCGCCGTGTGCCTAATTTTGGGCTGAAGGAAGCCGACTGAATGTTGAGTTGTAGGTAATGGATTGGCACGTTTGCATCAGCTGAACTTGTGAACCCGCAGCACATGCCACATTGCCCTCGGCTTGTCACATTTGACATTGGGCTTCCAAAAGAGTTGACGCAACCATGTTCCTTGCAACTAATGATGAATGTGTTTTATGGGTTCATACTCTTGGCAATCAGACAACCCGAATCATTTTAGTAAAGTAATGGATTTTGCTGGAACACAAACGGTTTGTCCCGACCGGATAAGATGTGTGATCTTGGACACGTTCGCCAGGAGCAGCGGCAATGTATGGAGTGGGATATTTGGTATGACTTCTTTGGCATCCCGCAGGCCGGGAGTATCCCGAAGCCGAAGGCTTGTTACTTCTTGTGGTTCAAAGCCAGAGATGACACTTTGAGCTTGGTGGGAGAATGTCATATTCGCAGTCCTGATCAATCCTTTCCAGATATGAGACCCGGATGGACATTCCCTCGACCACAAACTAGTCCCCCAACTAATCTCAGATCCCCATGTAAAAATTGCAGGTGGACGACCGCGGGTGTGTGGCCAGCATTCCTGAGCTGCAAGCTGCTGTGGACAGCATCCCAGCATACTGCGATGCGGCGGACTATGTCATTATCCTGGCGCCCACCATCCGGCACGCGGATTCAGGCGCGAGACTTTGAGCTGCCCATCGCCATGTTGAGTTTGCAACAGCAAAGGCATAAAAGAGGTCAGATCTGCCTATCTCTGTTGCCATTTGTAACATGCCCAGCAATAATTCAAGCGCATTCGTGGACAATCTCATAAAAGCAGTTATGGCCAATGCATCCCGTGACTCACCCTGGCTCTCCCGCCGGAACCGAGGCGCTATCATGAACTATGCTTCATGGGGCACCCGGGGCTGGTGCCGCGCTGAGCGCACCGCCACAGCGCTTTCTCCTAAGGACGCGCGCAGAGCCTTTTGGGCTTCGTGCCTGTGGGCTCTCATGGTCCACGTCCTTTGGCGAAGTGAGCATTGGCGAAGTGTTCCTTGTGTAGAAGCTCCTCTTGTGCTTTGGAAGAAGAGATGGAAAGCAAGTGTATGCGCATTCTGAATTGAAAGCAATGAGGGAATAGTGCAGGGCAATGAAGATGGTCACATCCCAAGAGATCACGTCTATTGCCTGGCAGTCAGTTCAATCCATGTCGAGGCTCTCAGCAAACTCTTGCAAGCAATTAGTGCATTCCTTGGAGTACCAGTCAAGCCTTCTCTCGGCAATCTTCCAGTAGCACCGCGGCCAGAGCACCCACTCTTATTGGCCACTAAATCCATTTTTTACGACATGTGTCTTTTTTCTCTTTGAAGTGGCGGGATCTGTCTGCAAGGAGAAGCCGATGTTGGCGGTGACAGATTCCAATACCATCTTTGCCAGCAGCGCTGCCGAGTGGATTCAGAACTGGCCGCATGATGGCAACTTCACAGTGGAGGAGGACACAAGGGCAAAGCCACGCGCACTTTTGGCCCGAAGTCAAACAACCCCTGAGTTTCTTGTGACAATTCGCTGAAAAGGATGTTATCACAAGCAGTTTAGCAAGAACTTCGGAGAGCTGGAACTAATGTGAGCTCTGCTTGAGAATGCATGCACTTGCAGGTTGTGTTTAGGAATTGGAGCACTGCGTGTGAAAGTGCTGAACCTTGCCGGTTACTCAGGATACTTGTCAGCACTGAGAGAAGCGCACAATTTCCAGAATAAAAGGTTCCATGAAAGGCGCAGCACTTGTCACTTAGGCTCCAAGGAAACGAACCGAAATAACTACGTGAATCACGCATATGTCAGTGGCAAGATTCTTAAAAAACCACGCAAAGTGACAAACACGCAAAACTCCACGAGCTTTTGTCGGCCCACTGAAAGTGCGCAAAGGGTTCACTGGTCGAAGGCTGCGAAGCAGTGCGTGCGGCCGTACTAATGGTACCGTCTCCGAGATCGCTCTGAAATCGCTCCGCGGGTTTGCGCACCTGCGGAAGATACTAAGATATATGCACAAGGCCACATTTTCCGCCAGCTTCCCAGTTGACGCCTCTATCTAGCACACGCAAGTTTGGTAGCTGAAAACGGCATTTCAGTTACTACATCGCGCAGTCTACGCTCTTCATAGCACTTGGTGGATTCCAGTCGCCGATGCAGTGGGCAGCCAACTGGAATGACAAGCGACCATTGAACCTGTGAACTACAACGTTGCTGAATGGTTAATTGAAAGCTGCTTCACTGTGGTCCTGGTGTCTTGATTGGGTAGACACGTCAGTTGGGCGGCTCGCACCACTCGCAGGACCGAGCCACTGTGAGGACTTTGACCAAGCAACTCTTAGAGCTGAAATGCGCCAACTTGCCCCTTGCCTCTCAGGGGGTCGGACCGGTTTCATCCCATGTGGTTTCCAATGTCAAGTGCAGTGCACATCGGATAGTGCCGCCCACCGGGGCCTGAAGCAGTAGAGGTAGCAGCGAAAGCGCAATGTAACGTTGAACGCATGGCTCAGGAAACAAAGGACATTTGTCGGAACGCAAGGTGAATTCCCTTTAGATTGTTTCTGCGGCTGCTTTCGTTGAAGTGCAGCTTGACCAACCGTACCAGGCTAGTGGTGTCTTTTGTGAGAGGTGGCCAGCAGTCGAAACGAGAGTAGTTGGAGCAGCGGGAGGGTGCCGGGATTTGGGGAAGCCGCCTCCAACAGTTCTCGATGCTTGGCTCTCATGACTGCCCTGCGGGTAGGCTGCAGTTGGGCGACGTGCAGCGCTGGCGCTTCTACAAAGCTTTGTCCTCCCAGCGCCTTGGAGCAGAGGGGGCGGTTTGGATGCGGTCAGGGAAGTTGGCTCGTTCATGCTGGCTTAGCACTATTCACGCTTCCATTCCTGAGCAAGGCTGAATTGGCCATTGTCCGTTTCAGTTTCCATTTGAGTTGTTGAAGGGTTCCAAGTCTTCATCCCGAGCATCTCCTTGCCCTAATCCTAGTAAATGTGAAGCCGCTTAAAAACTGATCAGGATCCTGGATTGGGATGGCTGCCTTTGAAAGAATTCAAGTTGGGGCGCTGAATGCATCTCGCTCTTGAAGCAGTATCAGCGCGACGTTGGAGCAGCTGGCAATCATCGCATGAACTACCCTCCCTCCCACTAACTTGGTACCTGACACGGGGTCCCTCCAAAAGGATTTGTTTTAC